AGAGGGCAATGAGCAGGTTCTGATCGCCGACTTTTCGCAGTCTGCCTCAGTCCCCCAGCAGCCTGCGCGGGATATATTCACATGGCATGTAATCTTCAGAAAACATTTGGTATGAAATTACCACTCTATGCCAGCACTGTTTTCCTCTGCGCGTTGAAGAACCATCCATTACGTCATCAATCATCAGAAAGCAACTCTGCATCTGAAATATACTAAATTAGTGACGAAACAGCCATATGACGATATCACCATTTCCAAGGCCCAACCGATTTTACATATCTTCAACGTTTCCTGTTCGTCATTAGCAGGACGCAACGATAGGTACGCATTAAGCAACAAGCAACTACGGTTTAACTTTCCATTTGGCACATTGTAATCGAACACCTACGAAAATGTCGGTTATCATCTACGTCGACAAAAATCATCAACCTTACTCTCTCAATCCAAGTATGCAAGATATCTGATCGGAGTAAGAACTTTTCTGCCAGAAAACGTTCTATGTGGCTTTTGACCAATCCATAATGCGAAAACAAAACCTCTTTACATTTTCCGTACATATTGCTGAGTTCTGTAAAACATTTTGTTCAAACAACCAGGAAGCATGCCTATGCCATTCTCCTCATCGACTCCGGAGCAAAATATAGCAAGCACGTTTGTTCAGTCTGCCATCGGTTTCGGTTCGCAAAACAATTCTCAGTCAATCAAAACAACCGCATATACAGCACAGAATTTTTATTACATATGTGCGCTCAGATGCAAAGTAAATGAAATCACAAGCCGTCGACGAATAGAAAACATCTGTCGTGGAATTCAGACGCACGACAAAACGATGAGTTGAGCATTACATGATAATTCCAGTACAAATTACGGCAACTATGAGTAAATCGTAATCGAAGTTCTGCGCAGATCACGGTGAAGTTCAGAAAAAATATTTGGCCACTTATACACATATATGAAACAAAAACTAGTCAATCCAATTGACGGAAGTAACAAATCTAGAAACTGATGTTGCATGGATAGATCAACAACTTGCTGACAATTAACAGATTCGTCAAAACTGTCGTTGTATCAGCTTTCCATGGTACTTTCGTTATTCCTCAGATTCCGCCAGTCCGACGCAGCACTTCCGACCAAATCTGGTACTTCAAAGTACGAGGCAACGCTAATCATCCCAATCAACTTCTCCGTCTGAAACTGAACTGTCCGACTCTGATCTACCCATCACGTCCTCCATACGTCGTTTAAGGATCGCAGCCACGTCATGGCCATAGTTCAGCACGTCTTTCTCACGTTCTTGCTCCTGTTGTCGCCCCACCTTCTTCAGTTGAATACCCTCGCGAATGGCTTTCAACAAGTCCGATCTCACATCAATGACGCTGTCTTCAGGCTTTTTGTCAGACATAAGTTTACTGCCGTCGTTTGCGGCAGAGTTACCAGCCGATTCGTCTCCACCTGTTCCGTTAATAGGCAAGATAACTGGAGGCGGGGGAGGTGGCGGAGGGTCGTTTACGGACTTTGAATACGGAGATATCGGCAGTACAGATGGTGGAACAACCGGCGGCGCCGTAATGTGAGCATTCATTAAGTTCGTCATCTCTGTCGACAACAAAGGTGGCGGAGGAGGAGGCAACTCAGGCGAGAGTGACTTTTCGCGTTGATCTTCATATGCATTAACAGATGAGGGTGTCTGGTTTCCAGCATGAACATTAACAGGGGCCAAACGGTATCCTTCATGCTTCAAACTCCACCTAGTGACCTTTGCCGTAAGTTCATTTTCGTAAACGCCATCCTCAGCTTTGTCATATTTCGACGGCTGTTGTGGCAGGAATTGTCGATCCACGAATGCAGTTTCCGCGTAAGTATGCCTGTCTTTTACCGGATGCTGCAAGTCTTTACTGTTACTGTTTAGATTACTAGGAGGAAGAGGAGGCGGACGGGTAGGACGAATATTAGAAGTCACGCTCGACGCTTTCTC